CCTCCGCCCCCAGTCCCTCCCAATCTGGCTGCAGGACCCCCATGCCCAAGGCTAGCACAGCTCCCTGCCGCAAGGCTGGACAACTGGGCAGCCCCAGCATCCCCTTCCCCCCCACACTGCAGCCCTCAGCCTGGCCCTCCCAGCTGTCCAAGCACCTGCGTGGCCCAGTCTTCCTGTCTGGCCAGGGTGTATAGGCACCTCCCCCACCCCGGTCCTTGTGGGAGGGCGATGCCTTCCCATGCCTGTTAAGGCTAGCACAGCTCCCTGCCGCAAGGCTGGACAACTGGGCAGCCCCAGCATCCCCTTCCCCCCCACACTGCAGCCCTCAGCCTGGCCCTCCCAGCTGTCCAAGCACCTGCGTGGCCCAGTCTTCCTGTCTGGCCAGGGTGTATAGGCACCTCCCCCACCCCGGTCCTTGTGGGAGGGCGATGCCTTCCCATGCCTGTTACCTGTGTCTGTCCCCTGAATTATGGGATGGCAGGAATGGAGTTTCATCTGCCTCATGCATTGCAGGGAGAACAGGGCTGGGTCTCCCTTGGACCCACAGGTGATGGGGAATTCGTGGGCTGGATCTCTCTTTGACTCCTGCCGTGGAGGAGACACCTCACGCCCCTCTGTTTCCTTTCCCCAGACTTGCTATATCTGCGAAGAGCAGGGCAGGGAGAGCAAAGCCGCCTCCGGGGCCTGCATGACGTGCAATCGACATGGCTGCCGACAAGCCTTCCATGTCACCTGGTGAGTCGCCGCGGTGATGCCCTCCCTGCCGCCCTTGTGCCAGCTGTTTTCTCTGCCGTGTGGCCGTGCTAAGCAGCGGACAGGGCTCCACGCCAAGGGGAACCGAGCTCATCGCACGGGCCGGATGTCGGGAGGAGGGGGAATCCCACCAAAACCAGGGGAGGTGGAGGGAGATTCCCAGGGGCTGTGTGAAATTTCACAAGAAGGACGCGCTCCCAGGGCGGCGTGGTAAGCGACTGGGGATTCCCCAGGATTGGGTGAAATCCAGCGATGGAGAGGCTGACTCACTGCCCGGGGATGCATTTCCACAGGGCGTGGAAGAGCTTCATCAGAATGATGTTGTGTTTAAGGTCCCTGTTCTTGTGCCCCGAGAGCCAGCAAACAAAGCTTGGAAGGGCCAGGATGCCCTGCTTTGCGCGGGGACAGCCAGGCATCCTTGCTCGTGAGAAATCGTACCTTGGAATAGCCACAGGTGGCTCAGACCGGGCAAAACTCCCAAGTTGAGATGGCAGAAACGTTTCTAGTCAAACGTTTTGTGAACATTTTCCCCACCCGCTTAGAGAGAGGCTGGAATGGTTCCCAAAGGTCCGGTTTGGGTGAATGTTCTCCGAGCGTTTTTCAGCCACTCCCTCTCTTGCGATCACAAACCATGAACAGGCCAGGATGGGAAGCCAAGCACTCCACATGTGGCCTTTTGAGGTTTAAGCTCTGTCTTCCCCACCTTGTGCGTTTTAGTGCCCAGATGGCCGGCCTCTTGTGTGAAGAGGAAGTCCTGGAAGTCGACAATGTCAAATATTGTGGCTACTGCAAGTACCACTTCAACAAAATGGTGAGTCCCTTTGGTTTGCTGGGAGGGTTTATTCCGACTGGAAAGGGGACACAGCATCTTGGGGGCTGACCCTGGATCGTCCTAATATAGCAAGAGGGAACCTGAGACTGTGTAGGAGACCGCCAACCTGTGCCATGAACTGTTGCCACACTTCAAAGGCAGAGGCGCCTTATCGATGCAAAATGAGTCCGTTCTATTCGATGAGTCGGTAACTTGATATTTAACATCCCTCGTTTGGGGTGGTGCAAATCAGGTCACAGCACCACAATAGGCGCAATTCACCTCCTGCTCTGACTTCTCCCCTGGCCCTGCCTGAAGCTGAGAGGCAGGACCAAACCTGGGACCTCAGTGCCAGAGCCTCTGACACTGGAGCTATAAAGCCCGCTGGCTCCCAGTAAGGCTGTAGAGCAAATTCATTCTCTGGGGCCGTGAGTGGTTGAGCCTCCGCCTCCGGTGTGTCTTTGTGCACTGGCCGTGTGGCGTGCCAGGCCTGGGGAGTATCCCTTGAAGCAGGCTGCGAACCCACCGGTGGCCGGGCGCTCAGAACCAATCAGCGCAGCAGAGTGCGCGTGCAACTGGCCTGCTGGTCGCACGTACTGAGCATGCTCGTTTGGCTCCCCATGCACTTTCTCCATGCCCTGGATAGTGGGTGAACCTAGGGCTGGGGGAGGCAAGCCCCCAACCCCGCCCCTGCCACCGCTGCCACCCAGGCTGCAGAAGGAGCCAAGCCCTTCAGACGGGCAGCCCCCACTCCTCCGGAGCATGGGTGGCCCCAGCCTTACCCCCACCCCAGAGCACAAGCAGCCCTGGCCCTGCCCCTCTGGAGCATGGGCAGCCTGAGGCCCTGTCCTCCCCTCCCCCCTTCAAGCACAGGGAGGGCACGCGGTGCATGGCTTCGGGCCTCCTGGAGGGCGGGCCGGCGCCCCTGCCCCCCCAACCCCAGCCTGCCTGGCCCCAGTGCACAGGGAGGGCTGGAAGCGCAGGGCTGAAGCTGAGGCAGCCCTGGGAGACAGAGCGCGGAGCTGCATGGGGGGATCTAGGGGTGGAGCGTGGGCGGGGCGAGCCAGGCAGTTTGGGAAGGCATTGCTTTCCCCTGCCTCGTACACCGCCCCCCCTTGTCATGGTGTAAAGGACAAGAGGCCGGGAGGAGGGATTTGCAGTGGAGACAGGGCAGAAGGAGAGTCCCGGGGATAGGAGAGGGGAAAGCAAATGTCTCATTAACCCCCTGTTGACGAGCTGGGGAGGAGGCTGGCAGGCTGTTCGTAATCTCCTTGCTAGTGAAGGGGCGACCTCCTCCATCCTCCCATCCCATGAGCAGTCCAGCTTGCGCAGACCCGGCAAAGGGGCTGCATCTCCAGCCCGGGTCTTCCAGCCTCACGGCCGCGGCTACGCCGTTGTAGCGTCAGATGCTTGTACGTCGACGGAAGGGGGGTTTTCTGAGCAGCGGTAAGGAGGCCAGCGGAAGAAGTCCTGGGTGCCCTAGGCATGTCTACACCCAGGGTTACCTCAGCTTAATGACAGCAATCTGGGGTGTGAATTTTTCACACCCCTGAGCGAGGGAGCTAGGTCGATCTAAATGTTAAGAATAGCTCAGGCCTTAGCCTTGGCTTTCCTGTAGGGGTGAAACTTTGGCCCAGCGCTCACCTATTGCTCTTTGATTATTGTCTATTCTCTTCTCGTGCCCGCACTTATCTCAGAAGACAGCTCGTCACCCTGGGGGCAGCTCTTTCATCACTGGGAGAAGAAGCCGGTCTGTGTCACCCACGCAGGAGAAGCCTGTCTTGCACCATGAGAGGCCAAAGAAGGTAATTTCCCCCTGGGGAGGTGTCTGTGTAATGAGGGGGCGACGAGGAGTCCTGTGGCAACTTAGGGTACGTCTACACTACATGCCTCTGTCGGCAGAGGCATGTAGATTTGTTTATTCAGCAAAGGTAAATGAAGCCGCGATTTAAATGATCGCGGCTTCATTTACATTTACATGGCTTGGCAAAAAGGAATTTATATAAGCAAAATGGAAGTGAAAAAATATTTTTCACTGACTAGAAAGTTGCTGCTGACATGGCAGTTATAAACCAAGTTAATTTCAGGCACAAAATAAAGCTGTGGTAAACCTCAGGTAATTAAAACAGATCATGTAATTCTTACTTAATTAAAATATATGCCAATTCCAACAGCATAGGGCTAGGAGATTGACTGACAAAGACAGAACTGTTCTTACAGTATTCAGCAAAGAGAAGTGAGGGAAATAAAAAAGAAAACAAAGAAACTGCTAATAAAATAAATATTTCCAGTATACTTTAAAAGCGACGAGGAGTCCTGTGGCACCTTATAGACTAACTGAAGTGTAGGAGCATAAGCTTTCGTGGGCAAAGACCCACTTCGTCAGATGCATGTAGTGGAAATTTCCAGAGGCAGGAATAAATATGCAGGCCAGGATCAGGCTGGAGATGACCAGGTGGATCCAATCAAGGAGGATGAGGCCCACTTCTAGCAGCTGATCTGGAGGTGTGAATTCCAAGAGAATAGAAGCTGCTTTTGTAGTTAGCAAGCCATTCACAGTCTTTGTTTAATCCAGAGTTGATTGTGTCAAACTTAAAGATGAACTGTAGCTCAGCAGTTTCTCTTTGAAGTCTGGTCCTGAAGTTTTTTTGCTGCAGGATGGCTACTTTTAGATCTGCAATTGTGTGTCCAGGAAGATTGAAGTGTTCCCCTACAGGTTTTTGTATGTTGCCATTCCTAATATCAGATTTGTGTCCATTGATTCTTTTACGTAGGGACTGTCCTGTTTGGCCGATGTATATAGCAGTGGGGCATTGTTGGCACATGATGGCATATATTACGTTGGTGGATGTGCAGGAGAATGTACCAGTGACAGTATGGCTGGTCTGGTTAGGTCCTGTGATGGTGTTGCTGGTGTATATATGTGGGCAGAGTTGGCACCGAGGTTTGTTGCAAGGATTGGTTCCTGAGTTCGAGTTATTATGGTGCGGTGTGTAGTTGCTGGTGAGAATATGCTTCAGGTTGGCGGGTTGTCTGTGGGCAAGGACCGGCCTACCTCCCAAGGCCTGTGAGAGCGAGGGGTCATTGTCCAGGATGGGCTGAAGATCACTAATGATGCGTTGGAGAGGTTTTAGCTGGGGACTGTAGGTGATGGCCAGTGGTGTTCTGTTGGTTTCTTTCTTGGGCTTGTCCTGTAGCAGGAGGCTTCTGGGTACACGTCTGGCTCTGTCAATCTGTCTCCTCACTTCCTCGTGTGGGTATCGTAGTTTACAGAATGCTTGTTGAAGATCTTGTAGGTGTAGGTCTCTGTCTGAGGGGTTGGAGCATATGCGGTTGTACCTCAGTGCTTGGCTGTAAACAATGGATCGTGTGGTGTGTCCGGGATGGAAACTGGAGGCATGCAGGTAAGTATAGCGGTCGGTAGGTTTTCGGTATAGGGTGGTATTGATAACTTAATTGTGTAATGAGGGAGTAAGGACTTGATCCTAGGGGGTGGGAGAGAGCGTGGAGGACACACGTATCCTGCCTGATGTGTCGTGGCAATCCAAAGGGGTTTGCAGTGGGAGAGTTGTCCATTGGGCTGCATTTTCGAATCGCACTCTAGAAATTCCTGCTAAATTTGGAAGCATAGCTGTCGGCGCCTGTGAAACTCTGCACATACAACGGAAATGCATGTCAGGAGAGGTGCTCACGTCACATGCTTGTAAAGTATGCGTTGCACGCCCCTCCCTTCCCAGTGGTTGGCCCAGATGGAGGATATGAGTCTACTATTGCTACTAGCTAGTGGAGTTCCCTCCTTTGCTCAAATGGGATGAGGCTGTGCCGTGGTGCTGGAAGCAGTGGGTTTAAAGGTAGTGGATGACTTATGCTTGAGGTTATTACGCTCACAGACTTGGGAGACTTTGTTTTCAAGGCCCGAGAGGCTATTCGTAATATTATTTTGGCCAAGAGGTTAACTATAAACAATATAATTCATATAAGAAGGAAAGGCTTAATTAGCCAAATGAAGCACAGTCCTGTGGCTTCTGCCCAGCAGTGCAAAACTAACCCAGGAAATAATCTCATTTTGGTGAAACGATCATCGAGAAGAACATCACACTCCGTGATCTGTCTGGGCCGATTTCAACAAGTAAGATGCGTTCACCGAAATCATGGTAGGATGACATGCCATGTTAATGACAGAGACGCGGTGCTCTCTTGTTGACTACACTGAGCTCTTTTAAGACTGTGGGTACATCTATACAGCAACATTATTTTGAAGTAACTTGCATTATTTAAAAATAACTTAGTCCATGTCTACATAGCCGGCAGTTATTTTGAAAGAATGTCGAAATACTGTCAAGCTGGAGGACTGCTTACTCCTCCTGTAACCCTCATTGTACGAGGAATAAGGGCAGTCGGAGGAAGAGGGCTCTATAAGTTTTTATCAGCAGTCAACCTGTGGAACTCCTTGCCAGAGGATGCGGTGAAGGCTAGAACTTTAACAGGGTTCAAAAAAGAGCTAGATCGATTCATGGAGATTAGGTCCATCAATGGCTATTAGCCAAGATGGGTAGGAATGGTGTCTCTAGCCTTTGTTTCTCTGGAGGTGGGTGACAGGGGAGGGATCACGTGAGGATTACGTGTTGTGATCCCTCCCTCTGGGGCATCTGGCATAGGCCACTGTCAGCAGACATGGTACTGGGCTAGGTGGACCTTTGGTCTGACCCAATATGGCCGTTCTTATGAAATAAGCTATTTTGAAATAAGCGACGCAATTGACGTAGCTGAAGTTGTGTAACTTATTTCGAGTTAAGCTCTGCTGTGTAGACGCACCCTACATGGATCAAATGTTGCTCTCAGTTTTCCTGAAGTCATTTAGATTTCCACCAGTGGAACCCAGAGTGGAATTTAGCTCATGGCACAATACAGCTGATGGTGCCTTGCCTCTGGAGAGGAAGTTCCTAAGGTCTTGCCGTGGGCGTCTGGCTTGATTGTTATTTTGTCCTGTCTTAATCCTGCAGCCTCCCATAAATAAGTAAACCAATTCACAGGCTGGTAAGAACCAAACTCCAGAACTTCCTGTTGCCTGTTGGGTGATGTCTATTGAATGGGTTTGGTGGGTCTTAGCCCCATTCCCAGTGGGCAGGCACCCTGCTTAGAAAAGCAACATGTCTGCAGTGAACGCCGCATGGCTTCCTTCTTTCAAGCCCCAGCTGAGAGGCTAAGTACTGAGGGTGCGTCTACACGGCAGCCTTATTTCAGAATAACAACCGTTATTCCAAACTAACAATGCAAGCGTCTACGCAGCCATTCCGACTTATTCCGGCTTATTCCCACTTCTGTAAACCTCATTCCACGAGGAATAACGCCTCTTCCGAAATAGCTATTTTGGAATAGCTGTAGTGTGGACACTCCTCTGCTGCTATTTCGATATAGCTGCTCCCTAGGGCCATTCCAAGTAATTACTCCCCAGTGCCTCGTGAGAGTAAATCGAGGCAGCGTGTCCACAGAGTCCTGCACTTGGGATGGAAGAATCCCAAGCCTAGTTACAAGCTGGGGACCAGCCAGTTAAGTAGTAGTTCTGCAGAAAGGGACCTGGGGGTTACAGTGGATGAGAAGCTGGATGTGAGTCAACAGGGCGCCCTTGTAGCCAAGAAGGCTAATGGCATATTAGGTTGCATTAAGAGGAGCATTGCCAGCAGATCCAGAGATGCCATTATTCCCCTTTATTCGGCTTTGGTGAGGCCGCATCTGGAGGATTGTGTCTAGTTCTGGGCCCCCCACTACAAAAAGGATGTGGATGCATTGGAGAGGGTCCAGCGGAGGGCAACCAAAATGATTAGGGGGCTGGGCTGGAGCATGTGAGGAGAGGCTGAGGGAGTTGGGGCTGTTTAGTCTGCAGAAGGGAAGAGTGAGGAGGGATTTGAGAGCAGCCTTCAACTTCCTGAAGGGGGGTTCCAAAGAGGATGGAGAGAGGCTGTTCTCAGTAGTGACAGATGGCAGAACAAGGAGCAATGGGCTCAAGTTGTGGTGGGAGAGGTCCAGGTTGGATATTAGGAAAAACTATTTCACTAGGAGGGTGGTGAGGCACTGGGATGGGTTCCTTAGGGAAGTAGTGGAGTCTCCATCCCTAGAGGGGTTTAAGTCTCGGCTTGACAAAGCCCTGGCCGGGTTGATTTAGTTGGGATTGGTCCTGCCTAGAGCAGGGGGCTGGACTTGATGCCTTCTGAGGTCTCTTCCAGTTCTATGGTTCTATGATTCTATGATTAGGGGAGCCTGGCTCGGATTAATGTTGAGGCTTCCCTGCAGGGTAGACGCGCTGTTTCGAAATGAGCTGTTTCGGAGTATTTCTCCTGGAATAGCTTATTTTGAAATAAGCGGGCCGTGTCGACCTACCCTGAGTGGGTTGTGGAGATTTATGTCCCCGCTCCTCCCTATCGAGGGGGGTCTCCAGATCTGGGTTAAGACACACCCGCCAGCATGTGCGAGCACCGATTTGTAGTCACACAGGGGAGACGTCACTTTCCAGGGAGGCTTGTACAAATTCACAGGCGCCCCATTGCTGACCCGGAATGGGTACGTTTCCTGCTGTAGGCAAGGCTCAGATGCACCAGGCTGTGTTTACTCCTCTTGTGCGTGCAGCTGCTGGCGGGGGGGGGAAGAGAAAGCGCCTGTGTCCTGCATAGAGAGAGCTGGCGCTTGGCACAAGGTAAACAGCTGTAATGGAACGCGCTATTTTTAGCCGGCACCAGCTAGAGGGGTTGGGGGAGGGGGACGGGATCTCGGTGATTGACGGGAGCTTTGGAGCGCTCAGCTGGAGAGA